TTTGTTCCAGTTTTTAAGGAAATGTTAATTCTGCTATTGTGACTTTTTCTGGGTGTATGCATGTGTCACTTTGGAGTCAAATTTTGCATATTTAACTTTTTTTAAAAAAATAATATTTTTAGCTGTAGATGGACACAATATTTTATTTATTTTTTTATGTGGTGCTGAGAATTGAACTCAGTGCCTCACAATGCTAGGCAAACACTCTGTTACTGAGCCAAAACCCCAGCCCGCATATTTAACTTTATTAAAACTCTTGTATTAGGGGTTTGGTAATATCAAATTTTACTACAGTCAAAAATTTTTTTTTCTGGGTTAAACTTTGGATCCAAATTCTTTTTTCATGATTGCTGATCAACGTGGACATGGAGCTCTTACTTTCCTCCAGTTGGCAAAACCTCCCACAAACTCCTCTTAAGATATGGAGTCTCTTTCCCTATACTTGAACCTGAACTAGCCTTGAGTCTTATTCTAATCAACAGATTGCCTCAGAAATGATGCTTTCCCATTCTGGGCCAGGGCCTTAGAAAGTATTGGTGGCTTTTTCTCTTGCTGCTGTTATTTCAAAAATTTTAACTGTAGTAAAATATGTATAACATCAAATTTGCCATTAACCCTTATTTTTAGCTTATTTTTTAGTTGTAGTTGAACACAATACCTTTATTTTATTTATTTATTTTTATGTGATGCTGAGGATTGAACTCAGGGCCTTGCATGTGCCAGGCAAGTGTTCTACAGCTGGGCCCCCACCACCACCATTAACCCTTTTTAAGCCTACAGTTCAATGGCACTGGTTGTGTTTACAAGTTGCACAATCACAACCACTATGGAAACAGAACCCTGTAACATACACACTTTCCCTCAGCCCTGGTAATCTCTGTTCTACTTTCCATCTCTACCAGCTTGCCTATTCTAGATATCTCTTTGTTAGTCAGTATTTCGTCACTATGACAAAATATCTGAGAAAATTATCTTATAAGGAAAAAAGTTTTAGTTTGGCTTCTAGTTTCCCAGGTTTCAGCCTTCAGCACCTGGGCCTTTGGGGGACATTTCTTTTCTTTTTTTTTTTTTTTTAAGAGAGAGTGAGAGAGGAGAGAGAGAGAATTTTTAATATTTATTTTCTAGTTCTCGGCGGACACAACATCTTTGTTGGTATGTGGTGCTGGGGATCGAACCCGGGCCGCACGCATGCCAGGCGAGCGCACTACCGCTTGAGCCACATCCCCAGCCCCTTTGGGGGACATTTCAAGATCCAAACTATAGCACACATATAAGTAGAATCAACCGATATCGTCTTTCTGTTTGTAGCTTGATTCACTGACCACAATGTCATCAAGATTCATCCATACTGTAGCATGTATCAGAACTGTATTTCTTTTTATGGCTGAATAACACTTTGTTGTATGTATAAACCACATTTTGTGTGTTCATTCATCTGCTGATGGACACTTGGGTTGTTTTTGCGCCTTGCCTCTTGGGAATAGTGCTGTGATGAACAATGACACACAAGTGTTTCTTTGACTCTGGGTTTTCAGTTCTTTTGGGGTAGACACCACGGAGGAGTATTTATGGTCATATGGTAATTCTATGTTTAGTTTTTTTTGAGCAACCGCAGAACCATATTCCACAGTGGCCTTGCCATTTTACATGACCACCAGCAATGCCTGAGGGTTCCAATTTCTCCACAGCCTCGCCAATATTTGTTCTTCCTCATTTAAAAAAATTGTATCTAAACTGGGCATAGTGGTGTGAGCCTATAATCCCAGCTACCCAGGCAAGTTGGAGGCCAGCCTTGGCAATTTAGTGAGAACCTGTCTTAAAACAAACAAACAAAGAAACAATAACAATGCTCGAATTGAGTCTGTTCAGAAAGATATAACAAAATATGATACACTGAGTATCTTATAAATGACAGACATTTATTTCATTTATTCACAGTTTGGAGGTCGGGAAGTCCAAGATCAAGGTGGTTTGAGTATCAGTGAGGACCTGCTCTCTGGTTCACAGATGACATTGTCCAGCTCTGTTCTTATGAGGTGGACTGGGTGTAAGGGAGCTCTCTGGCACCAATCCCATTGATCACTGATAAGGAATCAGCCTCAAAAGCTAAGCTCCTTCCAAAAGCTGAACTTCCGAACTCTGTCACTTTGGAGTTAGGGTTTCATCTTTGAGTTAATTTTTGCATATCGGGTCATTCATTTCTGAACCCTGAATCCTTGCCTACTGATTTATGTTTCTCCTACAGCAGAACCACATGACTTGGTTATTGTAGCCTTGTATTAAGGTTAGGCTGATGATGATTTTTTTTTTTTGGTGGTGGTGGTGCTGAGGATCAAACTCAGGGCCTCGTTCAAGCCAGGCAAGCACTCTACCAATTGAGCTACACCCACAACTCCTTTGTATTAAGTTTAGAAAGTGTGAGTCTTGGCTGGGGATGTGGCTCAAGCGGTAGCGCGCTCACCTGGCATGTGTGCGGCCTGGGTTCGATCCTCAGCACCACATACAAACAAAGGTGTTGTGTCCGCCGAGAACTAAGAAAAATAAATAAATAAATAAATGCAAAAATTCTCTCTCTCTGTCCCCCTCTCTCACTCTCTCTTTAAAAAAAAAAAAAAGTGTGAGTCTTCCAACCTTGGGATGCCTCTTGTAATTTTACGTGAATTTAAAGATTGGCTGCTTTGTTTTTTGCAAAAAAAGACAGCTGGAATTTTGATAGGGTTTGTACTGAATCTGTCAATGGCTTTGGGTAGTATCTTAAGAAAATAAGTTTTCCTGTTCTTCATCCAGATGTATACGGCATTCCCTTTAGGAGCTCTTTCATTTCTTCCAGAAATATTTTTTTTTGTAATTTTCATTGTTGTGGTTTTAGTGTTTACCTCCATGTTTAAATTTATTCCTAGATTTACTAGAAACTATTGCAAATGGAACTGCATTTATTTATTTTGCTTAATTAAAAAATGTATCTGCAGTCATGGGGATGGAACTCAGGACCCAAGTACATACTAGGCAAGTATTTTACCACGGACCTACATCTACAGTGTTTTTTAAATTTCATTTCAAGACAAGCGCTTGCTAAGTTTCCCAGACTGGCCTTGAACCACTGATCCTCCGCTCTCACCACACCCTGCTTTAATTAAATTGATTTTTAAAATTGTTTTCTTAGTTACCTTTTGGATTGTTCGTTGCAGGTATATGGGAATTCAGCTGATGTTTTTGCTGTCGATATTGTGTCCTGCAACTTTGATGAACTTGTTTACAGCTCTGTAGGTTTCTTGAGGATTCCTTAGGGTTTTCTATGTATAGTGTCATGCAAGTTGAGACACTTTAGCATTTTCCTTTCAAGTTTGGATGACACTTCTTTTTTGTGTGATTGCACTTCTGCACAGTTCCCCAGCTCTCCAGTTTGCAGACGGTCTGGTGTGGGACTTCTCAGCCTGCATGATCATATAGCCAACCCCATGAAAATAACCCCCAATGTATCCTATTGGTTCTGCATCTTTGAAAATACCGACAGTACACTCAACTTGTGGCCCTAAGTTTCTACAAACAGTTTGGGCTTTCCGATTTGGTTGACTAGACCTTGGTTGGTTTCCCACTCAGCTCCTACCTTGGCTCCTTCCTCTGACCCAGCTGCCTCCTGTACCCTCAGGATGGCTCCACTTCCGGAGAAACTCAACCACCAATCTAATCCCGGCTGCCTGTGCTCCTCACCTCCCAACAGCAGGAGATGGCAAAGACTCATGATGACAGCAGTTTCCAAGGTCAGGCAGAAGACCAAGAGTCCATGAGGGAGACGGGGGTGGCAGGGAGCATCCAGAGAGCTAGGAAGAGAAGCAGGAGGGGAGGCCATCAGGGGAGTCCTGGGAGACAGGAGTTTCAAGCAGAGGGAGAGAGGAGCCACCCTGGACGTGGGGGAAGCCAGGAGAGAGACCAGGGTGTGTTGGTTTCCCAGGTGATGGTAGACATCATTCTCTGTTGGCCATTTAGGAGAGTGCGGGCTGGCAGGACAGCCAGGAGAAGGTGTGAGGAGCAGGTGCAGGCAGGAGTGAGGAACCCTTTTTCAGGAAGTTTGGCGACACCTAGAGGACTGAGAGAGGATTTCCCCTAAGAAGCAAAGGGCTCACCTGGGTTCCTGGAAGTCTCAGGAATGCCAAGAGGTGCCTCAGCAGGGAGTGGGGCCTTTGGGGCTGTGGCCACAGCTGGCTCTGGAGCCAGTGTCCCTGCAGGGCGATGCTGTGCGGGACACACCCTCCTTGCCACCACTCTCAGGGCTGCTGGGTGGAGGGGGGCTGAGGCTGGATGTGAGGGATGTGAGCAGATGTAGCTGACAAGGATGTGTCTCTCCAGACTATGGACAGTGTTGGGCAGAGGGGGAGGGGCATCCAGCTGGGCACAGGCCCAGACCCTCCCGAGGCCAGGAGGCAGGAAGTGTGGTCTCTGCCCCGTCAGTGGGTGGCTGAAGTCACCTTGGGGGTCTGGTGGTGCTGTCCAGCCTGGAAAGAACCAGGGGGCTGCCCATGGCCCACCTCCTGCACGTGGCCCACCTTGGTCGGTGCTGAGAGCGAGTGAGGGGCCAGGGAGCTCCAGGCTCTAGAGCTGTAAGAGAAAAGGTCTGTGTTTTAACCCACTAGGCTTATGGAGCTTGTTGGAGTAGCCGCAGGAAACCAACACACACACACACACACACACACACACACACACGCACACCTGCAAAGTGATTTTTTAAAAAATAAGTGCATGTGAAGAAAACCATAAAATTTTACCAAAAGGCATTTTTAAGGGACCTGAATGAGTAACTGGTACATGAGCGTGCGGTGGATGGAGAGGGGACATGTCAAACAAACCAACCAATGCGGAGCAGAGTGAGGAATAAGTGAAACACACAGTAGCAGAGCGGGGGTGGGGGGCTGAGAGGGACACGCCTAGTTAATGTCACACACATTTCACACTGTGGTGTTTGGAGGAGTGGCGAGGGGACAGAGCATGCGTTGGATGGAGCACATCGTGTGAACTTGCTTTATTTCAGTTTCTGCAGAGCGGGGGTGGGACACAGGGCTTCCCCTTGAGCCGCACCTCAGCCCGCGTGTGACTTAGCCAAGTGGTGTCACGACTGGGCGGATGGATGTGCCCAGGCCTTTCCTGCAAGCGGAGGCCTGAGCGGTGCCCTGTGGAGGGCCGGGCTGCAGGGAGGGAGTCTCAGGGTTCTGTCAGGATGCAAAGGCATCAGCGGGACCAGCGGGCAGCGAAGGGACAGGGCTGGAGGACAGCCAGCGGAGCGCCCCCGACTGGCTCCGTCTCCGTGGACTGGGAGCAGGGCGCTAGGCGCCAGGGCAGCGGGCGGAGGGCCGCTCGCAGATCCAGAAGTTCTGGGCGGTACACTTGTTGTCGTTCCAGTCCTCCACGAAGAGCTCCACGCAGTCCTCGTTTCCGGCGTTGTTGGGCTCCCCCTCTTTCCAGTAGCTGCAAATCCCATCGAGAGATTCGTGAGCCCAGCCCAGCCACCCCAGGAGCTGCTCCTGAGCCTCAGCGCAGGAAGACCTGGCTCGGGCCAGTCAGTGCCGAGGTTTTCCAAAAGGTGAGCGCCAACCTCACCTTCGTGAAAATCACCTCCAGCAAAGGAAAAGTGCAGGTTCTGGGGCCCCAGGGGAGGCTGCTGGGACAAGGACCCCCCCGGGGAAGGACGGGCACTACACCAAGTCTCTCGATGGCTTTCCACCAAAGCATGAGTTAGGGGTGGGGTCCTTCCCCCGCCCACTCTGCACTATTGTCTCTGGGGAGTGTCACCTGAGCTGGAGAGGGGTATTGTCCACCCAGTGCCAGGAACCTTCATTGTTGTGGTCACTGAGGCCGATCCAGGTACGCTGGCTCTTTCTGATGTCCCAGTACCTCAGGAACCTCTGTAGAGGGGGAGCATCAGGAGGAGGACCCCTTTCCCTGTCTGTCTACATTCACACTGTGCTCTGTTTCCATGGAAATTCTTCCTGCAGTCTAGCCCAGAGCCCCTAGTCAAGTTGCAGGCACTGGAGTGTATGTGTCAGGCTGCGGGTGTGTATCGATATGCACACACGCGTGGAAATGTGCTGACATGTCTCAGTTCAGAGTTGTGTGCAGGAAGGGATTGAGCTTGGTCTCAGGGGTGCTCTGAGCTTCCCTTCTGTCCATGCTCACCTCTCTTGTGCTCCCTTCTCCTTCAAGACCTCCCAAGGCCATTAGGACACCTCCCCCTGGAAGCCTTCCCTGACTGCATCTCCTCCAACCCTGCCCACCTGCCCACCAGGCCTCCAACCCTGAGGGCCAAGGAGGGTGTGGGAGGCCTCTCCTGGACCCGTTGGTAGCCCAGCCCCAGGCCAGAAGCTCAGGCAGCTACCTGCTCTGCACCGTTGTTGATGATCACCAGGTGGGCCCCCATGTCCTGGCAGGAGGAGACGGAATTCTCCCAGGTGCCCAGGGTCCGAGAGAAGAAGTAGCAGTTTCCCTGGAATGCCTCCCAGCCCCAGGGGCAGGGTCGGCACAGGGCAGCTGGGGAGGAGGAGTGTGGCTGGGACACGAGGCTGGGCTCCTGGGACTCCCTGCCCTGCCCCAGCCCTGGCCCAGGGCCCGGCCCTTATGTTCAGCTGTCCGCTCAGTCTGCAAGAGTCCCAGGAGCAAGGTCCCAGCCCTGCCCTGCCCTCCTCACACAGTAGCCAGTCCCTCCTCAGACCCCCAGATCCCTGCTGTCCCAGGCCCCCGACACCTACCCAGGGAGGTGTTGATCCAGGTCAGCTGCTGACGGACCTGCTCCAAGCCTGAGAGTACCTGCTCCTCAGACCCCCAGCTCCCTGCTGTCCCAGGCCCCCGACACCTACCCAGGGAGGTGTTGATCCAGGTCAGCTGCTGGCGGACCTGCTCCAAGCCTGAGAGTACCTGCTCCTGAGAAGCAGCCCCTGCAACAAAAGGGGTTCTGTTATTCATCACTGGCTGTGTGGTTCTGCAGAGAGGGCCCCATGCAGATGTCCTCTGTGGAACTCACAGTGACCACAGGAGCCCCACGTTGCAGGCCAGAACACTGAGCCTCAGAGACTTGCCCAACATTGCCATCACATATGTGTCCCCCCCACAGCAGTGGCTTGCCCATGTCACACGGCCACGAAGCCCTCTCCTGCACAGGACCCTGACTCCAGCCCCTCACCCAAGCTGAAGTTGCTCTGATGATCCTGGACCTTTGCCTGCGGGGATCCGGGGGTCCTGGAAACTGCAAGAGAGAAGAGCATACCCCTCCTATGAGCACCGACTGTATGCCTGTCCCTGTGCCTAAGCTGCACACAGGGGAGGATAAGTTCCATAGCCCAGATGAAGAAACAGGTTCAGAGAGGGACGTTAAGCTGCCCATAGCCACACAGGAAAGGATGTGTAGCTTGATGTCCCAGCCCAAGTGGGTTAGGGGCAGGACAAGGATTATCCCAGAGGGAAACCCCAGGGGCTGGAGTGTAGCTCAGTGATTGAGCACCTGCCTAGCATGTGCAAGGCCGAGGGATTGGTCCCAGCATTTTCTGGGCACTGGGGCAGGGAAATGGGGGGAGCCAAATACACATCTAAAAGGAGCCCAGAGTCCCACCCCCAAGCCCAGCAGATAGAGCCCCCTCCCTGACTCACCTTGAACCAGGGTGGTCACCAAAAGCACAAAGCAGAGGCACAAAGAGCTGAGAAGCAGCAACAGAATCCAGGGGACTCGGGTCAGCCAGCCTGCAGGACCTGCAGATGGGCAGAGCTGGGCTTGAGGGACAGCTCTCTGCTGGAGAGGACCCCCTGCCACCCCACCCCTGAACCTGCCACCCCAGTACCTGGAAAGTTCTTTGGCCTCTGAGTGAGCATCTCGGGGTCTTTCTCAGTGAATCTCTGGCCTCTGAATGTTGCCTTCTCCTCTGAAGGGGGCACAACACTCTGAGCTGAGTGTGGAGGGCCAGGGCTGGAAACTCAGCCACCTCCCCCAGCCCAAGCTGGAGGCCCCGCTCACCCCCCCCACCTGAGGCTCTGCCTCCCCTGCAGCACCCAGGGAGGTCCAGCCTCACCCGGGAGGCCCAGCACCCTGGGATCATGTTCTCCTGCCATCTTCTGCTTGTGTCCACCGCCCCTCTGGCCCCCCTCTGCCCTGAGGTTCTTATAGTGCCACCACCACCAGCTGGACCAGCCTCCCTGACTCAGGAAAAAAAGGAACAGGGTGGAGGCACCCTCACCCCGGAAAAGTGTGGGGAGAGATGAAGCGCCTGACACAGCGAGGAGAGGGGGCTCTGGGTGGGGACAGGAGCTGCCAGTGGCACTGTTTCAACCCCCACCAGCACTAGAACCTGGGCCTCACCTCAGGGCAGCTGGGTCTCCTGGCCGGGACCTGGGTGGGTGCTTCTTCCTGGGTACAGGTGAGGGTGGAAATCTCGCGCTCCAGTGGAGGGTCCTGGCCATCTCCGGCCTTAAGATCTACAGACACTGCTTCTCAGGGGGCTCAGGACATGGCCAGCTCCAGCTGGGGCAGGGGAGCCCTGATGTCCAGGGCCACTGTGGGATCTAATTTTGTGAGTGCTGCGAGGGCCTTCCCAGGGGCCAGAGTGCTTGGGAAGCTTGTCTGGCCCTCCCAGATGACAAGGTACTGTGGCACTTCCCCTGGTGCTCCCTGCTGGGCTGTGCCTTGTGCCGGCTGGATGTCCGCAAACCGCAGAAGACTCATCCGGGTACCTGTGATGGACCTTGACGTGCTGGGCAGCTCTCGGGAGCGGGCTGAGCACACGCAGAGCCGGCACAGTCCAGCCACAAACGACCCGACCCCCACACCCTGATCGACAGCAGCAACCGCCTGGCCGGCCTATGTGCAAGCCCATGCAACCTTGGTGTGAGGTTTAGTGTCCAGCGCGGGCTGGCCTCTGGTCGGCAGATGGCATCTTGTCACTGTGTCTAGGTGTGTCGGGGTGGGTCATGGTCTCCTCTTTGTTATAATTAATGCATTTCTTTGAGGTGAGAAGTGTATTTTAGGGCCGGGGTGTAGCTCAGCGGAGAGCTCCTGTCTAGCGTGGGCGTGATCCTGAAATCCAGACCTGCACACGCGAGGTAAGGAGGGCGGGGCGAGCCCAGCACAGCACGTGCTGCTGCCCTCCGCTGGACCACGCTCTCCTGTGGCAGCCGCAAAGCCCCAGAGCATCAGCCAGGAGAGCGCGGCTGGGACCATCAGGCTGGAGCAGGGCATGGGACCTTGGCCACGTCCGTGTCCCAGAGCTCCGTCCCAGCCTCGTGCTCCATGCTTGATAGCCACAGTGGACACCAGCATGCTGCCGTCCATCTTCCTCGTGGACAGCGAGCTGGGTGATGGCCTGGAGTCAAGGGTGTCTCTTGGGAGTCACTCCTCCAGGATATTTTGGCTGCCTCTGGAGCTATAGGGTCTTGCGCTGCCCAAAGTGGAGCGACCTTCCCCTCTTTCCTTCTTCCTTCCCTGGCTTTGGACGCCTTTCAGCGCTGCCGTGGGCCTGCAGAGGCTTTGAGCTGGCTGCAGAGTGGGGAGGGGCAGGAGTTTCCTTCTTCACCCTGGGCGCCATCTTGGTGAAATCCTGGGGTCTCTTTGGTAAGGGTAGAATGCCACCATGAGGACTCTGTCCTTGTGACCCAATTTCCCATCAAAGGGCCCCACCTCCTCATACTATCAATTTGGTTGAGGGCCAGGATTTCAATGAATGGATTTTAGGGTGAACAATTGTTCCACAAACCATGGCTTTAGCCTTGGTCTGGTCCCACTTCTTTTACGAAAGAGGATGAGCAAGGGTCATCCTCTTCCTGATGGCATCTAACCTAGGGCTCTCCCCAAAGCACCTTCACAAGGCTAGTCCTCCCAGTGCTTCCTCTTGCCTCTGCCTTGGTGCCTTCTGGTCACCTGTTGTGTGCACTCCCTCGCTGCATGTGACAAGTGACATCCTGGAATTTGTTGGGAGCAGGTATGCTCCTGGTGGCCTTCAGTGGGGGCAGGGCAATAACATTCTTTACAATAACCCTATGGGTCAGATGCAGATGCTGCCCTGATTTGCAGATGAGGAAACCGAGGCACAGAGGGTCGTAACGGTCTGTGGTTACACAGCTTGCAGTGGGAGGCTGGCACTGAACCCAGGCAGGGTCCCCCTGAGTTCACGCTCAGCCCTCCCACTAAGCAGACCCTGAAACACGAAGGGAAAAGGCACTCATCAGGGCCAGGACAGGAGTTGCAGCAGTGGGAGGGGCTCCTTTTTCCTCCACTTGAGTTACCTTCTGCTGTTCTTTCACTTTCTCCTGAAGGAGAACCATCCTTTCTTTTATTCTCATAAAAAACCCCATCATGCAACATTTACGCTATTAACCATTAAAAGTGGGCCACGGAGGGCTCCCAGGACCTTCACCGCGTTACGCAGATGTCGTCGCGACCTAGTTCAGGTCATTCTCATCTCACCCATAGGAAGATGACCTGCTCCCAGGCCCCAGGACACAGAGCACTGCTCTCTGGGTCTGTGGGTCTGCCTGTTCTGGAGATTTCCTATCAGTGGGTCACACAGTGAGCAGCAACCTTTGTCTGCTCTTACTGACAGAGTAGTTTTCCACTTTATCCACATGGGCTGTGTATCAGTAATTTATTCTTCTCAGTGGCTGAAGATACCTTTGCTGGATTTAGGATTCTTGGTTGATGTTCTTTTTTTTTTTTTTTTTAGTATTTTGAATATGTCATCTCACCTCCATGGTTTTTGAAGAGAAATCAGCTTATAAAAATAACAGTAGTCTTTAGCAGTAGAATTATATGTGATGGTTACTACAAGGGTCTTAGGGAAGGGTTTGGGGCATGGTCAGATGCTTCCCCAGAGCCTCTCTCATTCTTTTGGTTTGATGTGTCTGAGTGTCACTGCCCCTCAAGTTCTCTGAGTGTCTGGATTTGTAAACTCAATACTTACCATCACACATGACTTCTTTTCTTTTAAATATTTTTTTGGTTGTAGATGGTCACAATACCTTTATTTTATTTTTTTAAATGATATTTTTATTAGTTATTGATGGACCTTTATTTATTTATTTGCTTATATGTGGTGCATATATTGAACCCCGTGCCTCACACATGCTAGGCAAGGGATCTACCACTGAGCCACAGCCCCAGGACCCCTTTATTTTATTTTTATGTGGTGCTGAAGATCGAACCCTGTGCCTTCCACATGCGAGGTGAGCGCTCTACCACTGGGCCACAACCCCAGCCCTTGGTGACGACTTCTTCAAATTCTTTTCTGCACCTTCTCCTCCCTCTTTACCTGCTGACACTTCTAATGTGGGTATGTTGGCCTTCTTAATGGTGTCCTAGAGTCTCTGAGACTCTTTTAAATTTTCTTTGTTCTATTTTTTTCCTGTTCCTCAGACTGGACAAGCTCAATTGATCTATGTTCAGATTCACTGAATATGTTTTCTGCCTGCTCACCTCTGCTGAGCTCATGATATGTGTATGTATTAGACTTTCAAGCTCCAGAATTTCTTTATGGTTCCTTTTTGTAATTCCTCTCTCTTCATTGATAGTGTGTACTTAGTGAAATGCTGTTCTCTTACTTTCCTTTAGTTTTTAGATACAATTTTCGTTAGGTTCATGTGTGTGTGTGTGTGTGTGGGGGGGGGTGTTTTGCTAGGGAGTGAATCCAGGCCCTGTACATGCTAAGCAAGTGCTCCACCATGGAGCTACATACCCAAACCTCCGTTAGCTCTGTTAGCTCTGTTTAGTTGATTTAAAGTCTTTGTTAAGCCCAACATCTGTGTTCTCTCAGAGATACTTGGATAGTTGCCATGTAATTTTTTCCCCTGTGTTTGGGCAATGTTTGCCTGTTTCTTGGCATGTTTCATATTTTTTTTTCTGAAAACTGGATATTTCAAACAGTAAAACATAACAATTATATTTTTTAAACTTTGCTTTATTTATTTAAATTATTTTTAGTTGTAGTTGGACACAATACCTTTATTTATGTATTTATTTATTTTTATGTGGTGCCTACGATCGAACCCAGCGCCTTGCACATGCTAGGCGAGCGCTCTACCCCTGAGCCACAACCCCAGCCGCCCCCAACATAACAATTATGAAAATCACATTCTCCACCCTGTTGTTGCTGCTGATTGGTACAGTTATTTGTTTAAGGACTTTTCTAATGAACTCTGTAAATCTATGTTCCCCATCAGAGTCACTGAAGTCTGTACTTGATTCCCTTAGTGATTGGCTCATGATTGGACAGAAATTTCCCTGAGTGCCGAAAGCAAGGGTCTCTCTGGCTGTTTGCTAAGGTGTGGCGTGTGCCTGTTGGAGCACACCTTTACCTCCCACTAAGAGGGCTCGCAACTCTGTCTTAGCCTTCACTTCCTGCTAGGGCAGAACCTCAAAGTGAGCCAGAGCTGAGAGCTTTGGCTTCCTAAGATCTTTCTAGAACATGCACACCAGTGATTTCCAAGATTCCCAAGAATATGTCAGAACTTTTCAAAATCTCTAAAGGCATCTCATTCCTTCATTTTTCCTTTTTAAGATTTTTTGGCTAAAATGAAAATGAAATCAGCATACAAAAACGATACCTGCAGGCCCATGTTTAGTGTGGCACTGTTAATGTCTCCAGGAATGGGTCCTGCAGTCCCCAGAGGAGAGCGGGAACTTGACTGGGGACCCGTGGGATTCTTGGCATTTGTGATGGAAAAGAGTTTCAGCACAGTCAGACAGAGGCACAGACAGAGGTCTATCTAGGAAGGTCATACCCATTCAAGGGGGAATGCAGGCTATCTTGAGAGTGGGGAGCAGCCCTGCCTTGGGCTGGGGGTCCGATGTTCATAGAAGGGGGCCAGACTGGAGGTGGAGGTGCATAATTTCTAACCAGTTTTCCCTGTACTTGGTGTCTTTACTCCATTTTCCTAGGGCATGGGCCAAGGGCATGTTGCTCAAGATTTACAACTGTGCTTTCTGCATCTCAATGGCTTGGGACATTTCCTTTAGATTCAATCTCTCTCTCTTTCTCTCTCTCTCTCTCTCTCTCTCTCTCTCTCTCTCTCTCTCCCCCCTAAATAAGGAACCAGTCTAGGTGCTCATCAACTGTTGAATGGAGAAAGGAAATGGGGTAC